ATATATATATATATATATATATATATATATATATATATATATATATATATATATATATATATATAAAACACATATCTTAAATAATCTTGGTTATAGTTTACCTGAGAGGGACATCGAGATAACTGGACATACTAGTATATTGTATACCCGTCCATATGATAGATACAACTGGTCTCATAACTGCTCGTATGAGGATAATAGTGATACAATACAGGTGCTAATTGGAGAATGAGTTTATTGATTGATCCGCTTATGAAATACTGAATGGTTGATGATGCCTTATTATCAGACAGCGATTCCGTAGTCCTAGTGGTATATCTGGTCCTTAAACTTGAAATACAAAGGATGTCCTGTATGAGTACTCCACTCTTTGATACTTGACTTATAGGTTTGGATGTCCCAGATCTGGCACAGCCAGTCATCGGGAGTGGTAGTCAACCTTTCGAGGGCTATTGATTGTCGATAGAGGATCATTCACTCTCGGTGTAATGAGAGAAATGTCTTATGTATTCTTGGTCAAACAGATCTCTAGTTAGGGTCATTCGAATTGAGAGAGAAAGAGTTCTTCGTGAGAATCCGATGAGAGCGAGACTCGAGTAGAAACTGTCTCATGTATTCTTGTTCAAACAAATCTCTGGTCAGGGTCATTCAGAATGAGAGAGAAAGAGTTCTCAGTGAGAATCCGATTAAAGCGAGACTCGAGTAGTAACTATCTCATGTGTTCTTGCTCAAACAAATCTCTGGTCATGGTCATTTGGATTGAAAGAGAAAAAGTTCTCCGTGAGAATCTGATTCGAGCGAGACTCGAGTAGAAACTACATGAGTCTAATAACACCATGCCCATTAAACGATCTCAAAGATATTAGATGGATGAGGGACTATAGGTACATGGTAACTAAGGACAAATATGTCCAATAGATTGGATTCCTCTGTATCGTCTAGGAACTACGACGTAGTGGCATAGTACGTTCACAGTCGATGAGTCGAGTGAATTATCATGGAGATAATAATTCACTGAGTTATGACAGGTATAACTCATGACCAACTTGATATTGGGCCTATAAGATCATACACATATGGTAGACATTGCGATAAGTAAAGGTTCAAATATGAGATATCCGCTGGAGCCCATATCTTATTATATATCAAATAAGCCCCTGAATTATTAGATCCTATGAATTAGATCTAATAAGAGCTCATGAGAGATTATTGGATAGATATCCACTAATCTAAGAGGCTTGAGTAATTGGATGAAGATCTAATACCTAATAGGGGAAGGATCCGTTAAGTTGATAAAGGACCTATATAAATAGAAAGGTTTCAATAATTTATAGGTAAAAGCTTTTTGTTTTCTTTCTTATTCTTCTTCTCTTTTCCACCTCAAAACAGACATGAAATTTTGAGGAGCGTCATCGTGCTGTGTAGATCAACGCTAGAGAAAATGACACTTGCCTCCTTCACCCTCTTCTAGAGATATACATGGATTTAGGGATATATAATCTCCTTAGGTAATACAATTTATCTCACACATGGTTTTCTATTTCACAAATTTTAATGAATTAATTTTCACACGACGAACATATCTTTAGAAATTAAAAATTTTGTTTTATGTTATTCTGCTTTAACATAGTGAAAAAGTGATTGCTATTAATTATCAACATAACAAATAAAACAGATAATGTAACGATAGGATTAGGGCTTCATTCGGAGAACTATTTTTGGTACTAATTAAACAGTGAACAGCATGACTGATTAGCAAACATATTGTAATTCATTGTTGTCCAGCTTTATAATTTCCTTTGCATGTCCAAGGCCAACCACCAGCATTTGCCTCTAAATTCATAAATGCATTTGGTCGCAATGTGCCTGTTATTCACTCTCCAGATTGCACTACATGTAAATAAAAATTAGTAATTAGTTCTTAAAAGTGTCTATGATTTTATAATAAGATTCAGAAGCAAATGAAAGGGCAACTTTAATCACTGTGTACACTGTCCCACGAAAAATGATCTATTTCTGTATAAAAAAAGAAGACTATTCTCTCCATGATGATACAAGGACAATCAAAAGAATGGCTAATTGGCCATGACTGTACTTAAAGGTGAGGCTCTTAAGTCTACCACATGATGGATGCATGCACAATTGCAGGCACACATTCAACGTCAAAGAGAGGATGTTGAGAAATCATTTGACTGATCTAGAGAGATCTTAGATAGGCCTAGGGGCTATTTTCTAAAGTGAAACTAAAATCATGTGTTGGGCATATTTTAAAAGCAAGCTCACCATTGGTAAGGGGACCTTTCAATTGGGCATATTTTAAAAGGATAAGAAACCTTTTTCCATGTTGTCGTATCCCAATCTAAAAGATGCAGGAGTAGCTTCATCATGAACCTTGTCGACCACCTAATGGAGATTTGATGATTCATCATGGACAGCAAGCCTGCAAAGGACCAAACAGAAAGCAAATTGCTCGTTTTTACTTCAGTTAAGGTAGTCATCAGTTAAATAAACAACACTGAACAAGCAAATTCACCATTACTGTCTGATGAGGGTAATAAATGGTGACAAGACCTGCGCAGACGTCAGCTGTCCCAGACGACGTCTCACACCTCAACCTACCCGATGGAACCTGGTCAAACGAAACAGAACGTAGACTGAGACCCATTAACGATCTGTTCAGACTCGATCATTCACGCCACGCCAACACCAGTGTCAGACGCAACCCGCTCCCTGCAAGCAGCCGCATCAGACACGGTAAATCACCCTATAAAAACCCCGCCCCTAAGAGGGGCGAGGGGGGGGGGGGGGAGAGAAGAAAAACAGACAACAAAAATACACCACTCCGCATCACTAACTTGATCGTCGAAGGGGTCGGGCTGAGCCCCTCGACCCGACTTGTGTGCAGATGAGAAGACGAGGTTAGCGCCCTCGGGAGGCAAAGCAAAGGAGGCCTCCTCTACGGAACACCCCGATCAAGCTCGACACGGTCTGATCTGCGACGCCCGCCACTTCAGTGACGACGAGATCCCTGCCATTCGAACCCGACACAAGCCGCGTCGGCCCCAAGGCCACGACACAAAGTTGTTTACACTAACACTGTCCTATGAATCCAACATGCTTCTGGATACAATAACATGTCTACAAATACAATGACAGTTATCAGCAATGGCAAACATGAACCCATTTTAAAATGATAGAATGACCTGTTCAGGATCACAATGCTAGAAAAAAGTTGGCTACTTAATTCGTCTATTAGCCTCCAGAGGAACAATTACACCTACTTGATGATTCATCATGAATAGCGAGACTGGGAAGGACCAAACAGAAAGAAATTGTTCAATTTTGCTTCGATTAAGCTAGTCGTCCGTTAAATCAACAATCCTGAATAAGCAAATTCTCCATTTTTGTCCTACAAATCCGACATGTCTCTGGACACAATTAATGTATAAATATACAAAGATGGTAATCAGCAACGCCAAACATGGTCACATTTTTGTAATATGGTAAAAATACCTGTTCAGGATCACAATGCTATAAAAAGTTGGTCGCTTGATTTGTCTATTAGCTGCAGATAGTAATTTAACATTCTTGATTTGCGTATGTCAAGCAACATAACTGCTCATAAAGGAAGCTCTTTTATTCAGTTGTATCTCAGTATTCAATTCCCCTCCCTCATACATTGGGCTTAGTAAAGCGAATATGAGGGCTCAATGACTTGAACTAAAAACCATAAAAGAAACAGCACAAACATACCTACATTGCTAACACAAGTTTAGGAAATCAAACTTCAAGGACGATGCAAAGGATGCTTACATCTTCGTCATCAGCACCTTCTCCGCACAACGATTCCTGGCAAACATTCTTCCTTCAAGACCGAAAACCTGTTCATAGGTGGCAAAAAACACACAGAGACATCGGTCCCCTTCACCAATTCCCAAACATAGGGGAAAAAAGAATACAAATCAGTAGCCAAGTCCAACCTCTGGGGTAAAATTCGATCGCTTGTGGGCTATTCACGGAGTTTCACCAATCAAAGACACGAATCAGAAGGGAAAACAATAAATCATGGGTCAACAGATCGAATCGAAAGATCAGGAGGAACTCTCCATGGCGACGGGAGACGGAAGGACGGTCAGAAACCCTAGCCGGGAAAAGGCCGGGGAGGGAGGGTTTGAACGATGGGGGAAAAAAGTAGAGAAAGGGCCGTTGTTCCAATCTGGTAATCCGCGGATCAGGTTAATCTTAGAAAATTTCCATCCTTCGCTATCGTCTGATCTAAATCTGACGGTGAGGACGAGGGAGAACAGATTGAAATTGGCTCTCATTGATGGACCATCAATGGATATGACAAGTGGCGATTCGTAATCCACACGCCAGGTCGACATGATGCGAGAATGGTGGATTTGGGTCAGGCATTCATATCATAAATGGGCCGACATAATTAAGTCCAGTGATAAATAAGTAGGTTCGGTTCGGTTCGACGATTGGACCCAATTGACTCGAATTGACCCAATCGGCGACCATATCAAGTGTCTTAAGCATGTTATGATGACCAACACTCGAGAACTAATGGAAGACTGGAGCAAACTGCATGAGGCCTGTATAATTCGTGGCTAATAATATCCATTATGTTGCTTTCTTCAGGACATGTTTCATGTCGGTGGAAATAATAATAGAATGTACTTTTGGGTGATCAAGGAGTATGGACGAAGAATTGTAATACTAGTTATATTATTATTATTATTATTTGTTAATTTGAGTTATTTTGTATTCTTCTTCTTGGGTTGGATTTGATTCTGATATAATGATCGTGACATGATGGTCATAAATTATTATTCATAGGATGTTAGAAGGTCTTATTTTAGCAAGTAAAGATTTTATATTGATTTGATTATTATTAAATAAATCAGCTTTCTTTTGTTTATTATTATTATAATGCTAAAAATATGAGGAATAATTAAACCATGAGGAGAAACGAGAGATATATTTTTGAAAAATACAAAAAATAGAAAATATACATTATTTTTTATAAAAAAAATAGTAAAAGGAAATTATCCCAACTCTTTTTTTATTTTTCTTCTCTTTTCTCTTCTTTAAATTTTTACAAATCCACGTGGCGGTCACCTGCGTTCTTTGCGGGTTCATTTCTTCTGTTCCTGTGCTTCACATTACGCAGGCGTTGGGGATAGTTTTGGTGCTAATGACGCCGTGATTTACTGGGAGCGAAGAAAAATCCCATTTTGACGTAGTTTTGGGACTTGCGGCCGACACCGCCCCGATAAAAACGTCGCCTTTGGTCCGGAGATTGGACTCTTTAGAGCTCTCCTGGCCTCTGAGCGACAGCATTGTGCCCCCAGTTTGGGACTGGAGTTGGAGAAACCCTGGTTGCTCGATCTTTTTGTGGACTGAAGGCCTCGGATGGATCTGTTTTTTTGCTCCGAGACTGGTGATTAAAGGCTGTGAGTGCGATTCTCTTCCTGAATTTTCAATCTGTGATGTTTCTTCGCATTTCCATGAGGAGTTGAGATCTTGGTTTTAGAGGATGGCGCTGGGGAATTGGATCAAGATCGTGTTTTTATCCGTTTTCCTTTGCTGCTTCGGATCGGTGGTGTTCGGCACAACCGATGCCGGAGATTACGCCGTTCTTGATGAGTTCCGGAAGGGGTTGGCCAACCCGGAGCTCCTCAAATGGCCCACGAACAACAGAGACCCTTGCGGCCCTCCGCTGTGGCCGCACGTCTTCTGCTCCGGCTCCCGCGTCGCCCAGATCCAGGTCCAGAACTTGGGTTTGAGCGGCCCTCTTCCTCGGGACTTCAACAAGCTCTCCATGCTGACCAATATCGGTCTCCAGAGGAACAATTTTAGTGGAAAGCTGCCGTCTTTCAGTGGCTTGTCCAATTTGCAGTATGCATACCTTGGGAACAACCAGTTCGACGCCATTCCATCGGACTTCTTCGTCGGGCTCACTAGCTTGCAGGTGCTGTCTCTGGACATGAATCCCTTGAACCAGAGCACTGGCTGGGTGCTGCCTCCGGACCTGGCAGACTCTGCCCAGCTGATGAATTTGTCATTGGTGGGTTGTAATCTCGCCGGCCCTTTGCCGGAATTCTTGGGAACAATGCATTCTCTATCTGTTCTGAAGTTGTCATACAACAATCTCACCGGCACCATCCCAGCGAGTTATTCAGGTCTGCCACTGCAGATTTTATGGCTGAACAACCAGATTGGACCAAAATTGACCGGCTCGCTTGATGTCATTGCATCGATGACAATGCTGAAGGATGTTTGGCTCCATGGAAATCAGCTCACAGGACCAATCCCAAGCTCAATTTGGGGCTTAACATCTCTGACACGGCTGTGGCTCAACAATAACCTGCTTGTTGGTCTTGTGCCTCAGAACCTGACAAGCTTGCTGCAGCTCCAGTCATTGCAATTAGACAACAATATGTTCATGGGTCCGATCCCAAAGGTGAGTTTCAACTTCACCTATGCTTATAACTCATTTTGCCAGTCTACACCAGGAATTCCTTGCTCACCAGAAGTCACCGCCCTTTTAGAGTTCCTTGAAAGAGTGAATTATCCATCGAAGCTTGCAGCTTCTTGGTCTGGTAATGATCCTTGTGCCAGTTTGTGGTCTGGTGTGTCTTGTTTTGATGGCAAAGTTTCTGTGATAAATCTTCCAAACTTACAATTGAATGGCACAATCAGTCCATCCCTCGGAAAATTGAATGATCTTGTTGATGTTAGACTTGGGGGTAACAATCTTGATGGCATGATTCCGGTCAACATGACAAACTTGAAATTGCTAAAAACTTTGGATCTTTCTTCAAATAACATCTCTCCTCCTGTTCCACATTTCCCTAGTAGCGTGAAAGTCCTTCTTGATGGAAATAAATTGCTAGTTACTGCTAGTTCTCCAGAATCTTCTTCAACTGGGAACAGTCCATCAGACAGCTCACCGAACAATACCCAATCGCATAACTCACCTAGATCTTCTGGCAGCTCATCTCCTGATGCTAATTCAGGTAATAGGTCAAGAGGTTCTAGGAAGTTGAATCTCCTGATTGTCATTGTTCCAATTGCTTTCGGTGTTTCTATATTTCTCTTGGCTGTTCTTTTCCTGTGCTTCTGGAAGAGAAGAAAGAGTGCCTTTCCGGCACCAAGCTCCATTGTTGTCCATCCCAGAGACTCGTCTAATCCAGATAATTTAGTCAAGATTGTGGTTGCAAATAATGCCAGTAACAGCATTGCTACTAATGAATGGCAAAGTATAAACAGCAGTCATACAAGTGATACACACTTGATTGAGTCTGGCAACTTAGTAATATCAGTTCAGGTTCTTCGTAGTGCTACTAGAAACTTTGCTTCAGAGAATGTGCTTGGCAAGGGTGGATTTGGTGTTGTCTACAAGGGAGAGTTGCATGATGGGACAATGATAGCTGTTAAGAGAATGGAATCTGCTGTGTTAAGTAGTAAAGCTTTAGATGAATTCCATGCTGAAATTGCTGTTCTTTCAAAGGTTCGGCACCGTAATTTGGTTTCCATCCTGGGCTATTCCATAGAAGAATATGAGAGACTTTTAGTTTATGAGTATATGCCTCAGGGGGCACTGAGTAAGCATCTGTTCCGATGGAAGCAGCTGGAGTCGGAGCCATTGTCATGGAAGAAGAGGATGAACATTGCATTGGATGTTGCCCGTGGAATGGAGTATCTTCATAACTTGGCTCATCAATGTTTTATCCACCGAGATCTCAAGTCCTCAAATATACTACTTGGTGATGACTATAGAGCAAAAGTTTCAGACTTTGGGCTCGCCAAACTTGCCCCAGATGGAAAAAATTCTGTGGCAACTAGACTTGCTGGAACTTTTGGGTATTTAGCCCCTGAATATGCTGGTAATGCCTTTTCTTCAACTTTTCAGTGATAGATATTGGCGATCTTACTCATAGACTGACTTCAAAGGACTGAAAATTTGTTTCTAATAAATGTTATTATGTACACCACACCTTTTCCGATTAAACTTTGACAAACATGCCGAAATTACCTTAATCTCACAATTTTGTTGTCACTTTTAACAATCATTTCTTTAGAAAAATAACTTACTAATACAAAAAAATCTAAGGCTAGATTAAGGATTTATGTTTTGACTACCTTGATTTGTGAGAAAAATGCATCAATATGTGGGTACCTTCTTTCCTTCTTTGTCTGATATTGTTGCTAAAAGATAGTCCTTATTAATGTTCCAAGCATTGACATTCTTCTAATAACTTAGATTTATTCTTATATGTCCAGATCCATGTTTTTAGGTTTCTTCTTGTAATATTTGCATTTCCATAACAAAAGAAGCACATTGCCATAAAATTTCGTGGAACTTAGTACATAGTTCCTTCAGTTCTTCTTAATTTCTTTACGTTATAATTTATCATCTAGAACTCACATATGACCTAGGAGATCTAAATTTCTGATTAGTATCTTTTTCTTTCTATTTTAGAGATCAAGCTGTAGGAGAATAACAAGGTGCAACATGCAATATATGAAGCCTTTTCTCTTTTTGTTCAATAGTCACTGTTCTGCTTGTTGTTTACTGGATCATTGTTTTCTCTGTTATGTGTATCTTTTAATTTCCTTGCAATTTATACATATTTCAGCAATATATTCACTGCGGTTGTTTAGTCCTCAAGAATACTTAATTCATCAAGTAGAGGAAGTAATTTTCATTTGCAACTGACTACTTTATTGACTGGTTTGCGTTGTTATGATTAAATCAGTTACTGGAAAAGTTACAAAAAAGATTGATGTCTTCAGTTTCGGAGTGGTACTGATGGAGCTATTAACTGGTCTGATGGCACTGGATGAGAACAGACCCGAAGAGAGCCGTTACCTTGTCTCCTGGTTCTGTCAAATGAAGACCACCAAAGAAAATCTCAAGAGTATCATTGATCCAGCACTTGTTGTCACGGATGAGAACTTTGATAGCATTTCAATCATCGCAGAACTTGCAGGACATTGTGCTGCACGAGAGCCACAGCAGCGGCCTGACATGGGTCATGCAGTAAACGTACTCGCCCAACTGGCTGAGAAATGGAGGCCCATGAGTGATGACCAGGATGAATATTTGGGTATCGACCTGCAACAACCCCTTCTTCAGATGGTGAAGGGATGGCAAGCTGCTGATGGTACAA